ACTCTATCTTTTAAAAAAAGAATTATATATTGTTTCTCTTGTTACAGTTGATAAATCTGAGGCTCAGAGACGTTACATATCTTACCTAAGGTCACTCAGCTAATAAATGATATGATTCAAACTCTATCAAGCCTGATTCAAAGCCCATACTCTCTAGCCCTTTGCTCTGCTGACTTCTTAGACTAAAGACACAGCCTTTGCTTGTTCTACTATTCCCAACTTCATCTAAACAACTGAGTTCTGCCCCTTTGTTATCTTGGTATATCTAGACAAGTGGATGAGTTGCAACAACCACCAGAGCTTAAACTGGAGCCAGAATTGCCATTGTTAGACCTGGAGCTGGGGCTGCCATCAGAGCCAGACCTGGGGCTCGGCCTGGAGTTAGAGCTGGATGCAGGGCTGAATCTGAGGTCAGTGCTGGAGCCTGTGCTGGAGACCACTCTGGAGCCAGGGCTGGAGCCCACACTGGAGCCTGTACTGGAGCCTACACTCTGCAGGGTATCACACAGCATGCCAGAGCCAGACCTGAAACCTGTATTACAGCCAATGCCAGAGCCGGATTTGCCCTGTGATCTGCAAAACTTGAATACTGAGGGAATGGAAAGTAAGTGATGAGATGGAACTAGGGAAGAGGAAACATTCTTTCCTACCTTCCTTTCTGACCCATCACAGAAAAGGCTGAGCCCCATGCTCCTCATTGGAGAGAGAGGCTCATTTCCTGCTGAGCTCCATGCTCCTCATTGGAGAGAGACGCTCATTTCCTGGTGATTCCTTTTATTAGGAAATTCACATGCCTCCCCCTCCCCTCATCCTCCATCCTCCAAAGCTCCCCTCAAGCCTTGCTGCGATTGTCCCTCACTTTTCCTGTTGGGTTGGGAACTCCCAACTAAGATCAGGGTCTGACTTTTCTTTCTGAATTATCCAGTCTTCAGAAACTGTAGAATAGAAGAAATCATGCCAAATGGTGACCCGCTGTTGTCTGGCCAGAACACCACTGACGAGGCTTACATCTCCTGCCCCAGCCATTTCTACACGGATGTACCCTTGACTTCTGACCTCTAGGAGCTACATTTTCTCTGTTATTTCCATATCTTTTGCCCCTCCTAGTCTTCACATCATGATGCTGCTCTTCAAGTATGGGAAATTAGAGATTCTAAGCTGGGGTTCAAGGGGAGAGGTGAAAGAAACATGAATGTGGAAGGGCACCAACAAATCAGAATAGGTACCTGCCATAGTTCTAAATAAGGTCTTGGAGGCTATCTGCTGTGCTGGGAGTCTTAGGGGTCCTGCAGCAGGCCCGGATAGTTTGCAGGTATTGGAGGGCTCAGGGAAGTGGCTTCTTTCCAATATGGAAGGATTTCAACATTATAATAGTTGGTAAGATTAAACTGGCACACACTAGCCTTGGCCCTTTGTGAAGAGTACAGACATGTCATAGACTTCCACTTCTCTTATTATTAAATTCCATTTTTCTGTTGGATATTAGTGAATTCAAGGCCTCATGCATGCTAGGCAAATGTTCTATCACAGAGCTACACACTTAGCCCTTTATTTCTCTCTTCTGGTTCCAACTTTTGTCCATTCCTGTCAAGGATAGTTGTGTTTTTTTTTTTTTTCCTTCTTTTCTCGATTCCTTCTCCTTCTCTTTCTCTTTTTCTCCTTCTCCTTCTCCTTCTTTCTCCTTCTCCTTCTCCTTTTTTTTTTGTTTTGTTGTTACCAGGGATTGAACCCTGGAGCACTTAAACACTGAACCACATCCCTCACCCTTTTTTAAATTTTTGAGACAGAGTCTCATTAAGTTGCTTAGGGCTTCACTAAGTTGCTGAGGCTAGCTTTGAATTTGTAATCCTCCTGCCTCAGCCTCTTGAGTTTCTGGGATTACAGGCATGTGACACTGTGCCTGGCCTAAATTTCTTACTTTCTTGTAGGGGCTGAGAGCTTTCTGTCTCAGCCCAGCATGTAAAGCTCCACCCTGAGTAAGGATATAAAACAGAACTCTTCTTACCAGTCTTCTGCCCTGCTCTGCCCGCTGAGTTGCCTGCATCCTCTGCTTCCCCATAAAGTGATCCTACCATTCTAATGTGGTTGAGAAGCTTTGCACACTAATTTAGGCTGCCTAGTCTCTATTTCCCCACTTAAGAAACAATCACTCCTGGAGGTTGGGATAGTAAGGTTGCTGAGAATGTAGGCATTGCTTTATATAGTATTAGATAAAATTTGATGTTTTTACAGAGGAAGCGATGCTTTGGTAGCTATTTTTTTTTTATTAAGACACCATCCCTTCTTTTGTACAATATACTGTTTGCCTGAAAGGAAGATCTCTATTCCTTGGGTATAAACCTAGGCAAAAACCACACCAAAGTTCCTGGAACTTAGAACCTTGAAAGTTTATCATATGACCCTGGACATCCTCATACCTTAGCCATTCCCAGGGAACCCCAGAGGCAACTGCCATTGCTCTTAGATGTGCTTCTGGTGTAATTTAAGGTATAAATGAAAGAGGGGCCCTGCACAGGTGACTCTTTCTTGCTTGGTATTCAAGCAAACAGCTCAGTTCAGAAAGGGTCTCTTCTGAACAGAAATGACTAATAAACTTTGTGCTAACCTTGAAGTGTCTTATCTCAGAACTTCTTCTCCACTCACAGAGACTAAAGTCCTTGGGGACATCATCAGGGACATCCAATATATAAGAGTGAGTTCAGCAAGTTGAGGCCTCTGTTCACCTCTGCATGCCCTTCTTGTTGTATTTCTTCTTTGTCCCTCCATTTGGAGTCGGCCTTCCTGCTTTTCAAATGGGGGATGGGGGTGAGTGATATGTGTTGGGGGTGGGATATAAGTGTTATATGACCATCCTATCATATACTTAGTGGGTGGCAAAGCAAAAACATAAATCCACATCTGTCTGACTCTGAAGCACACATTCTCTTGATGCTGGGACTGCAGCGAAAAGGAAAGCAAATAATCACTAAGCCCTTCCCTTCCTTTTTTCAGATAGTTTAACTCTCTTCTGGAGTTAACAGAGGTCCTTTAAGGGAGAATCCCATTGGCTTAAGAGATTTACCTTTATCTTCTTGGAATGCCCTTCCCTGCTCACAGCTGAGCACTACTTTTTTTTTTTTTTGTATTGGGGAACAAATGGGCACTCTACCACTGAGCTAATTCCCACTCCCACCTTTTTTCTTTAATATTTATTTTTTAGTTGTAGTTGGACACAATACCTTTATTTTATTTATTTGTATGTGGTGCTGAGGATTGAACCCAGTATCTTACACGAGCTAGGAGAATGCTCTACTGCTGAGCCACAACCCCAACACCCTCCCCCCCTTTTTTTTTCTGAGACAGTCTCATTAAATTGCTTAGGTCCTTGCTGTTAAATTGCCTCCCGAGTCACTGGGATTACGTACATGTGCCATCATGCCTGGCTGTGGTCTAATTTTTGATTCTGCAGTGATTGAGGCTCCTATCTTTGGCTCCTATATTCTTGGCCAAGATAGTGGTCAATGGATCAGGGATCAAGTGACCTATAGGTGTGCTTCCACTTCCTAATCTGAACTCCTTATAATCCCAGGCTGTTTGCTCAGCCATCAAGGATTTATACTGAAAATATCCCAGTGGCTGGGTATGGTGGCACATACCTATAATTCTAGTGACTCGAGAAACTGAGGCTGAAGAATTGTCAGTTTAAGGCCAGTCTCAGCAATTTAGCAAGACTCTGTCTCAAAATTAAAAGTATAATGTGGATCAGTGGTTAAGCACCTCTGGGTTCAATCCCTGGTACAAAAAAAAAAAATCCCCCAGGAAGTTGTGAGAAAATCTCACTCTCCACCATAGACCTTCAGAGTAGTAGAAAAGTGTACATGTTATAATCCCTTGGCCCTACTTTTTCCATCCATTTCTCTTTCACAGTTGAATTTAGAAATTAGACTTGAGAGCCACATAAATAAATCTTTATTGAAAAAAATACATAATACTTATAAATATAATAAATAATCCTCCTCTCCAATCTGTTCCCAAGAGGATAAATAGTACCAAAATTTCCCTTTCCAGCTAATAAATATGCAACTTTGTCACAGGTCATCATCTTAAGTCAGTATTAGCAGTTTTTCAACATGCAAGTCTTATTAAAATTAGTGGGCTAATTAACTTGTTGGCTCATAGTTGTGTGGGTCGATAGATATATCTTATCATTGCTGAGCCATGTCCATCTGGGTGCCATCTTTAAGCTGTTGCCTTCAGGGGCTCTGGGTTGCTGCTCCATGGGCAAACACCCGGGCAGCTACAGCTATAAAGGCCTGGAGGCTGCGAAGGATCTTGAAGCGGAGAAGGAGACGTTGCCATGGCTGACTGGGACTCGGGTTGGGAGTCTGTTGAGTCTCCAAGTGGTGACCCTCAGGCTGAAAGGACACAGCACAGTCAGAAAAGACTCTAGATCCTTATCTCATAGCCTCTGTCTCTTAACACCAGCTAGCCCCCATCCTCCACACCACTTGTTCATACCTGTAGGAGTTGGCTGAGGCCCAGAAGGGAGGCATGAAGCTGGCCCACAGGAGCATCGTCCCCTGTGAAAATGTCTGAGCCCAGAAGCTTCTCATAAAAAATCAGACCCTGGTGGATCCTTTGCAAGCAGAACTAGAGAGAAAAGAAAGCAATAAAAGGTGGATACACTGTTCTTATTCATTGAAGATCCACCCAGTTCTTTACCATTCTCAGAAAACTTCTAGTTCACCACAGTGCCCAGCTATAGGCCCAGTCCCCTCTCCCTTGAGGGCCAGCCTCATCTTAGTGGTACCTGACTATTGTCCTTGAGTCCTTGGGGATCACAGCCATCCCCACATTGGATATGGGGGACATCATTTGTAGTCTCTTCTTCTCCCTCTTCTCTCAGTAAATCCTGGAATGAAGAAAGGGAATGGGAAGAATACAACACATACTTATTGTTTTCTTTGCAGTGCTGGGGATTGAACCCAGGGCTGAACACATGCTAGGCAAGTGCTCTATGAGCAACAACTCCAGCCCAAGATAAGTACTTTTAAATCCCACTGGATCCTTATACCCGTGATTCTCCCAGGAACCCCAGTCTCCTTTTCTTTCTCATTCCCTGATCACCTTCAACCTTCAAGTATCCACCCAAGGCCACAGCTTCCATTCAGTCGTGCAGCCTTGGAAGGCTTGAAGAGGTTCCTTTCAGTCCCACAGGCTAACACTCACCATATGTCCCACTAGTGGATGTGCTCTCCAGAGCAGTGTGCAGAGCTTCTGTGAGAGCTCCTGGCACTGGGCCCAGGAAGGGCTGCTACTCCCAGGCACAGCCCAGCCCTGAGCTGTCCAGGGCAGCAGCAATAGCAGCATCACAGCTCTGATCCCCAGCATTATGTCGCCTACTTCTCAAATCTGTTTCTATGACCTGCACTAGTCCTTGTGGAATCTCTGCCCACTTCCCCTTGCTCTGAGACTAATTCTGTCTGTTCTGCTTTGGTTCTGGTTCTCTCTGATTTTCACAGAGATTCTGAGCTGCTTCTGTTGTTTTTCTCCCTCTTTTTAAGGTCCGTGCATTGTAAGGCCCGCCCTTTACACTAGCAGGTGACTCACAGCAGGTGGGATTCCCCTCCCTGCATCATTCCCCTCTGTGGAGAGCCCAGGTATGTAGCCTCAGTTCCAGGGGAAATGAGTAGTGAAGTTGCTGTGGCTAGAAGCCTAGGATGAGACACATGTGTAATGCTCTCCAGGAATTGAAATGGCTTTAGAAGGGGTAGGGGAAGTAACGAACATTTAAATTAATCTGGTCTCAAGTTCCTTCCTGTTTAATCTGATCTTTTTGCCTTTCAAAACTATACCCCTTCCACACCCCAAACCTAATTTCCTTACTTCCTCTTGCCTGAGGAAAAACCAAAAACAGAGAAACATTCACTCATCTCCCAAAAGGATGGTGAGCTCATCTTGGAATGAAGTTTGATTCCTACCTAATGACCTGCTATCTAAGAATAAGGGAGTTCTTTTTCTCCATTGGAAAGTGTACCCCTTACCCACATTGGGTGGACCTAGTTTCTTAGGAGAGAATGAACATTAAGGTACTTGTGAAATGGGAAGCCATATGAGTGTAATATAAGGTATTATTATGGCTGGCATGGTGGCACATGCCTGTAATCTCAACAACTCTGGAAGTTGAGGCAGGAGGATTGCAAATTCAAAACCAGACTTAGCGATTTAGCAAGGCCCTAAGCAACTTAGCAAGACCTTGTCTCTCAATAAAACATAAAAAAATGGCTGGGGATGTGCCTCCATGGTTAAGCACCCCTGGGTTTAATCCCAATCCCAGGTACCAAAAATAAAACAAGGTGTTATTGCTCCCCATTTCAGTCCTCACTATAGAGAGCATTTGTAGAGGTGAGGTTGTTGACTAAGAAGCACCTTTTTTTTTAAATTTTGTTTTGTCGGTACTGGGAATTGAACTCAGGGGCACTTTATCACTAAGCCACATCCCTAGCCCTTTTTATTTTGAGACAGATTCTTATTAAATTGCTTAAGCTGATTTTGAACTTTAGATCTTCCTGCCTCAACCTCCT